CCGTACAAAAACGCGTTGTTGATGTCCAATTGGCGCAAACCCCAGTTGTTACTCAACGCAATAGTCAGAACCAACCTGATGGTGACCGGTTTCATAACCGGGCTATATGTCTCAAAGTAATCCCGGCCAGCAGTCTGTAAGAAGCCTTTGGCCACAAGGCGTGCCTTGTACCGATCAACTGAGCCATCAAGTTTACGCTTTACACGGTAAACCCATTTACAACCAATGGGAACCCCAACACCGCGAGGAACCAGGCACCACGTTTTGTTACGTTGGAGTGCATCAAACTCTTCGTCCATAGCTTTTCTCCACCGAGCATCCTTCAAGGCCTGAGCCACGGTAGATGGTTCTAAAGTGGGAGGTAAGGGATGCGTTGTGGTGTGGTTGATAACATAGTCAAAATACCTGGGGTTAGGACGACGTGGTCTAATGGAGCGACGCAACCCATCCTGTGACTCAGAGGCATCGGACGACGACTGCTCGGGCTGACAGGGTGGTTGATCGGTTGTAGTAACAGTGGGTGATGAACGACGGCTGGTTTGGTCATTTTCTGAGATAGTGGGAGACGGTGTTGGAACGGGTGTTGGAACTGGAGTCGGAACTGGAGTCGGAACTGGAGTTGGAACTAGTGTTGGAACTGGTGTTGGAACGGGAGTTGGAACTGGAGTCGAAACTGGAGTTGGAACTGGCATTGGAACGGGTGTTGGAACTGGACTCGGAATTGGAGTTGGAACTGGTGTTGGAACACCCACGGGCTGTACTTGTGTAGACAAAGTAGACGACTTGCACAAGATACTTCGTGATTCAGAATCATGAGAATCAGAAGGTAAGCTATTAGATGACTTTTGCAAACCGTTATAAGGAAACACATAAGGCACAAATCTAACATGTCTAGATACATAAATGCGATTCGAACTGTAATCTAGACATTTATAACCGGATTGGGTGGTTGAATAGCCAAGGAAAATACATGGACGTGACCTTGGTTGTAGTTTCTTGGTGTTATAGGGACGCAACCAGGGAAAGCATAGGCAACCAAAGGGTTGTAACTTATCATAGTTGGGTTTTTGTTTGAACAACACTTGATAAGGAGATTGATTACCTAATACCGGAGTTGGAAGTCGATTGATGAGATAGACGACAGCCTGAAACGCGTGAGACCAGAATGAAGAAGGCAAAGAAGCAGCGTGAAGGAGTGACATTCCATTTTCAACGACATGCCTGTGTCTCCGTTCAGCCATGCCATTATGCTCAGGTGTATGTGGAGGAGTCAAAAAATGCGAAATGCCATGAGCATTGAACATCGAAATTAATTTAATAAACTCCCCCCCCCCCCCCCCATTGTCAGAATAAACTGACACAATTGACAGACCAAAAAACTTCTCCACTAACCTTTTAAACTGAGGAAAAATCAAAGAAACATCAGACTTTCGTTTTATAGGATATAACCAGACATACCTAGAGAAGTGATCAACAAATATAACATAATAAGCAAAGTCATCAATAGATTTTTCCGTCGGACCCCATACATCAGTGTAGAGCAGTTGTAGAGGCCTAGTGCTAACAAGTGTGCTTTGGAAAAAAGGTAATTTATGACTTTTGTATACATTGCATGATTGGCAGGAAAACTTGTTTAGTGCTGACATAGATATGGGAACGTTGCAATGTTGCAACACACGATGCAACACCTTATTAGACGGATGGCCTAGACAATGGTGCCACTGGGAAACGCGAGACAGCTGCATGGAATTAGATGTAGGTTGACGCAAGAGAGGTGCATAATAGACACCATTAATGTTCGCCCCCCGTAGTAACGACATCCCCGTTCGAAGATCCTTCACAAGAAAGTGGGAATCAAAGAATTCCACCGACACTTGATTAGTTTTGCACAATTGCGATATGGATATTAAATTATTATGCAACTGTGGAACACGTAGGACATTTTGGAGAGTGAACACGGAAGAAGGAGTGAGAATAGATGACTGACCAATGTGAGAGATGTTTAAAGAATTACCATCGCCCAGTCGTATCCCATCAGGCCCATTATACTCGGTGAAAGTGTGCAGAGGAGACATATCTGGTGTGGCATGGTGAGACGCCCCGCTGTCAAACATCCACGGCGTAGTCGCTCCCACAATAAAATTAGCTGCAGGTGACTGAGACTGAGGAAATGTAGAAGCCTGCACGGGAAACACATTATGGGCCTTTAAGAACTGGGCTAACTTACGGCAAACACGAGTTTCATGGCCAACAAGGTGACAGAATTGACACACAACACCAGGTCGAGTGTTGCTGTTGTGCAACCAATTCGGTCTATTATTGCCATACGTGTTGTTGGTGTTGTTGCGGGACCTCCGATCGGCAGTGGAGTGCTGACTATTGCGAGAAGCCGAAAAGAGATTGGCAAGCATCATCAACTTCAGCCAACTGACGCTCATGATCTGTGAGCACATCGACTAATTCTCCCAAAGAAATGGGTTTGTCACGGACACGAACGGCAGACACGATGGAGCTGTACTCGTCCCCTAGTTGTGTTAAAATGTACACAACCATGTCTTCATCAGAAATAGGGCATTGAGCCAGGGCGAGGTCGTCAGCTATTGAGCGCATGTCATTCAAAAAGGCGGTGACTGACCGATTACCCTTCGGATTTCTGGTAAGCTTGGCCTTGAGGGAAATGATCCGTCCTCGGGAGGCGCTAGCATAGTTAGCAACGAGCCGTTGCCAGGCATCACACGCAGTGGGTGCGGAAGCTATAAGAGGTTGTATGGTGTCTGAAAAACTCCCAAGTAAAGCACTGGTAATTATCTCATCTTGGCGATACCAATTCAAATGTGCTGGATTCAGAGTTGTTTGTGCAGTATCATTGAATTTTGCTGGTTCTTTGATAGAACTATCGATGTATCCCATGATATTAAAGCCAACCAAGGTGGACTGAACTTGGCGTCTCCAGACAGGAAAGTTGAGGGGGGTGAGTTTGATAGGAAAATTAGACGGAGCATTGAGGTGAACAATGTCAATGGTGGTGGTAGCCATGTATATAAGACTGGCAAAAGAGGAGAGGAAAAAAAAACTCCTTAGGGGAATATGGCTCTTGATACCATGTGAAGAGATTAACTGTTGTGTTTATTGATTGTAAAGCACACCTATATATAGTACATGGAGGAGTGAACATAGCAGGAAGTTACAACCAAATACAACTAGTCTATAGGAGCACAAATAGAATAAATAACAACTAAAGAAATACTAGCCACATATTGGCTTAACATTAATAACCTATTTAACCTGTTTACACGAACCTGTTTATAACCCGCTAAGAACAATTGTCATTTAGTTAAGAACCACTATCATGAATGAGATTACAAAAGATATTATGAACATGACTAAGGATGAATGTACTACATTAGGCCAAGATCCTACACCAATTATTGATGTTCAACAATCTGAAATTTGAATTTTTATTGTGTTCAATTTTATTCTAAAAACTAGTATGGACTTCTTTAATTATGATTTTTGGATGTTATTTTACCATTTTATGAATGTTATAAATTGAATATTTTTTAGTTTGTTTGATGGATTGAATTGTAGGTTTTTTATATATATAACTTAATTTTAAATTTTAATTTTTTAATATATTAATAGGTTTAGCAGGTTTAAACGGGTTTCGTCTCATATCGTGTCGATACAACCCGAAACCTGTTAACGAAACGTGTTTATCGTGTCAACCCGTTAACAAATTGTGTTCGTATTCGTGTTAAAAATTTGAACATGTTAACCTTAACGTGTCGCGTCCGTGTTTAGCCTTATCATGTTCGTGTCATTATCGTGTCGACCCGTTAACAAACCTGTATACACGAATTGTCGGGTCTAATTTTGTTGTAATGTTCCGAGCTAATGGTATATCTTACCCCATAATTAACCACTTAGGTTGGGAAAGAAACAGTAATAATTAGAATAAGCATATAACTACTCTCTTTGAAAATGAGGAAGAAGAAGACAATGAAGAGAGGATAGATTAGAATTGAAGTATTTGGTTTGAATATATTTTGCATAGAACCCGGAAACACATGTGCAGATCATCAATAAAATACTACAATTGATGTACCAAATTGTCAAATCTTTTGAGACTCTCTAGGTAAATCATATATGAATATGATGAAGCCAAAATCTTCATTGTCCTTTCTCTTTCTTTTGCCTTCCACTGTTTCAACCTAACCTTGTTGGAGTTTTTAATTCTTTAATTTTTTCCCTTATTTTTTTTTTTCTCATTATTATTAAGTTCACTCAAACATTCCTCCATGCCTTCAATTCCTCTCATAATAGGTCCCTACTCCCATACTATAATCTATAGGTCTTGCTTGCTAGCTTTACTAGTAGTATTAAAATGAAGGAGAATTAAAATTAGAATCCATTGATAGTGTTAGCTAGAACTAAAGAAAAATTATTAAAGTGGCCTTAAAACACTTCTAAATAAATGGATTTTGAGGTAATTATCTACTAAAACTAACACTAGGTATGCAACGGTTTAGCGAAAGATTGCACCGGTTCTAAGTGCAATCATGACAATGAACGGCTAATGCTTTAAACGTCAGTTATGCTCGTAAGGACTTAGTTCAATGGTTTAGTACGTAGGCAGTATTTGAAAGAAGAGACCAGATTCAAACTTCTACAGATCTCGTGGGCAAACCGACATTTGGTCATATCTTCCTTTTTATCCCAAATATTGAAACATTTGATTTAAAAGAAAGAAAAGATTGCTTAAAACTGTAGGGGGGGAGGAACAGGAAGAATCCATCAATGATCAAATGACACAATGACAGCAACACTATCCCACCTTTCCCTCTCTGTCTTCTTGCTCAAGTCTTTATAAATACCATACCCTCTCTCACACTCTCCACTCACACTCACTTCTAAACCAATCATTTTTCTACTCTTCCAAACCAAAACCTTAGAAACACCAAAAACAACAACAATATTTGTTATAACACTTTGACAACAATTATATTATTATGTCTTCATCCAACACCCCACCATCACAACAACCATTTAGCCTCTTTGAACCCATCCGCACTCCCACCGGATTCTCATGGCTACAGCGCAACACGGCGGTAGCCCAGCCGAGCGAGAAGCGGGGGCGGCGCAAGCAGGCGGAGCCGGGGCGGTTCCTAGGCGTGAGGAGGCGGCCGTGGGGGCGGTACGCGGCGGAGATCCGGGACCCCACCACCAAGGAGAGGCATTGGCTTGGCACCTTTGACACTGCCCAAGAAGCTGCCCTAGCCTACGATAGAGCTGCCCTATCCATGAAAGGCGCCCAAGCAAGAACCAACTTCATTTACACCACCGATTCTTGTTACACCACCAATACAAACAACCCCTTTGATCTCCACCCCCACCCCTTCGTCCTCACCTGCACCCCGCCGGAGAAGAAACCCGCCGCCGCCGCCGCCGCCAACCCACCGCCGGTGAACAACCACGGCGGCTCATCGGATAATGAATCATCCTATGGCTCTTCCCCTCAAGAAAACACTCTTTTCTTCCAATTCTCCCCACACGAAGAACACAATAACTCTGGGTACTTGGATTGTATAGTGCCGGATACAATCTTGAAACCCCCCAACACAAAAACAACAAATTCCCAAGAAACCAACGAAAATGGAAACTATTACACCACCACCCCACAAAATCTTCCTTGGTTTTGGGAAGGCCAACAGTCATGGGATATCATGAATTCATGCGACGACGAAGACCTCACCGCCATACTAAACAACAACAAGAAGAAAAGTTCGATGTACGAGGTGAGGAATGCATGCATGGGCATGGGAAATAATGATGAAAATCCAGCCATTATTAATGGGAATGCATTGAGCTTTGATGATGAGGTCATGATGATGCAAGGAGGGGGAGCTACTTCTTCATCATCATCAACAACAACTTGCTCTTATGCCTTTGGAGATGCCAATGACTATGGCTACTCCCTTTTCTAAATGCATTATTAATATAATCCCAAAGTTGATGTGGAAATTAAAGGAGGAGAACTTATCTAAGTTAGCATTTTCTTTGTTATTCAAATACTGTCTGCTAAACCACTAAGTTTAGCATGTGCGGACTGGCTAAGTCGTCACCATTATATTTTCTACTATGACCTAATGGGATTGCATGAAAATGGTTTTAATGTTTTTTTTGAATATGAAATTTTGGCCCCTCTTTTTATAATGTGGGTGTAATATTTTATTTGTTAAGACTTATTATAATGAAGTAATGGTTTGATTAATCTAATACATGTCTTGTGTGTGTTTGTATAATGCAATGCAAAAACCCTAAAAATATTGCATGAACCTTATTATTATAAGTGCATGTTCTTTTGGAATACATTGGATTTTGTGCTACTCGAATCATTATGTTAATTAGGTACCTTATGCCCATAGCATTGATTTTTTCTATTCAAAATAATGAGCTATAATAACATTTCAAAAAAAAAAAAAAGCTATAATAATATAATATCTATTATTAAATTGTCTCATTTTATGTACTAATTGCTTAACAAGACTTAATTTATAATTCAATTTTTAATAATATTAAGTTCAATACTATTATATAAAATTTATTTATTTAAAAACTATATTAAAAATACTATTAAATAAAAATAACAATAATACTTCGTGTGTCATTCATTACTATAGCTTCATTTCCATAATTTTATATCAAACCTTTAAATGGTTGGTGGATATGATTTTTTTTTTATTTTCTTTTTTACAGCAGAACATAGAAATAACTAAACAGACAAATCAACAAAACAACCGACATAATTACTGTTAGGGGCCAGTATTTAGTGAATAGATGTTTTGAAGTAATATAATATTTCCAAATTAAAAATCTCATATAATAATCTAAGAATATGAGAAGAATGTAAAATAAACTAATAATAAAGTTTGGAATCTCACATTTTCTAAACCAAACAATGAAATGTGATATTATAAAATTTACATTTTTTAAGTTATGTGAAAGAACCAAAACCCCTTTACTACTTAACTCTACAGGACTTGGCTCTTTAGTATATATAGGGATATATCAATATTAATCCAAAATTGATGAGTTGACCCCATAAGTTGATGACCCTAAATTTAGTGGGCTAACTTGATAATCTAAGCTATTTTAAGGTTATTCTTTGTTTCACAAGGAATGTGACACAAAATATATAGAAAATTTATATGTAAGTTCATCTTTAGTTATTCTTATTAAATTTGTAAATAAAATTTTAATAAATTTATTGCAAAATAAAATATTTTGTATGAAAATAAACAATAATAATAAAATTTTTTTAAAAAAAAACTTATTTTAATTATTACATTATAGTATTATTTTAATTATTACATTATAGTATTATTTTAATTAAGTCCACCTGATAAACCTGACAGCCTGAAACTAATGAGTTTGCCCAATTGACATCTCAGCTCTTACCACAATATAATCAACACTAAGCAGGGTTGGTTCCCAAACTTTCTTGATGACGTAGATTTGCAGAACATATGAATCAAAGTAATAATTAAGGAAAGTGATATCTAAGATGGCTCCTCACATGAAAGCTCCACAATTCCTTCATGTAAACCTTGTTCTTTTATTATTATTATTATTTTTTTTTTTTTTTGGGGGGGGGGGGGGGGGGGGGGGTGGGCGGGGTGGTGTACTTCTGAGAAAATAGAAATATATGTATGACCTTAAGAATCATATAATGCTGCTAAACCATGAAAGGTTTGAGGTGGTACACCAATTTCTGGCAAACCTAATTTTTTGCAAAATTCAAACAACTCAAGTTCATTATGCCAATTACTATAGCCCTATTATCTCTTTCTCGACGAAATTGAAACTCAACCTATTACCTTCTCCCAAAAGGTTGAGTCCCCGACTCCAATGGCTTCCCAGTTCCCACACCCTGGCCCGACAGCATTTGAGAGGATATAAATCACGATAACTCAATGGCTTAGCATACAAGGCCAAATGCATAATCCCCACATTGCCGCTAAAACTCAACCTATTACCTAAAAGTGGATGTAACCACTATGCTACACCCCGAATTAACTTTGGGTCCCATAACTCCACCCTCCAAATTTTTGTGCACAAAGAAATAGTTCAAGCAGCCTAGCAAGCAAATACAAAAAGGAACATCTATAATCAACATCATGAGATATGATCATTGCCACAAGGTTATATATGATCATCCATAAATTAACCTAATAATCCAACAATTTGAATCTATAACAACCCTATTACCAAATCCTTGTAACTTATCACATCTTAAAAGTGAGAAAAGCCAAGAACATGAGAATCCTATGAAAGCACCACATCATTGGAACTCATGAGAATTGAAGCATGTACTATCAAAAAGTAAATGGATAAAAATAAAAAGGCATTTCTTACAAAGTTACAGTATGAAATGTGTATATGATGGTAATTTATCAGGTCCTGAGTAATTCATATATCGACATGACAAGTATTGATCTTATCACATAAAATGCAGCATAAACTAACCACTTGCCTTGCTTGTTGTTCTCGGAATCATCTGTTTTTGTTTCCCCGCTAGAAGAGCTCCAGACAAAAAGGAGACTTTGAAATTCACTCCTAATTAGTCAGGTCCCAATTCCTATGAGGGAGGTGAATGAAGTAAACGGGAGAACAACGGAGTAGGAGGAATCTTTTCGGTCCCTAATTTAAATGACTACAACATAAATAAACACAAGAAAGCTCCAAAATTGGGCACAAATACAGACTAAATGGAAAGTGGGGCATTTTCTTTTTGGTTATTGGAGGTTCTTTTGGATCTTTGACGAATGGAGTTCACTTATTGACAATGGGGTTTGATTGTGATATAATGATTTTATGAGATCAAGACAAGAAGCTTCCTATGACTGGGACTACCACCAAAAATAATTCTGCATAATTATCATTGAGCAATGAAAAAAATGTGATCACTCAATCTTTTAGCTCACCTCCATGACCCATACTACTGCTCCCACTCGCAGAATAACTCTGTCCAGACTGCTGAAGACCAGGACGGGGAGCGGGACCCGTCACTGAAAATATCGAACCAACTGTACCACTAGAAGTGTTCATGGACGATATCTGGGTAGAGAAGGCTTCCGTGTTGGATCCCGAGGTGAGATTGGGCCTTAAGTCTGAAGACGAGGACGATGGAGCCAAAGTGCCCATAGAAGATCCAACGGGGAAGGGAGCAACAGGCATATCGGCAAGTGAAGATGCAGATGGACTATAACTCAGTGTTCCCATAGGATGGTCAAATTTGCAAGTAGGTCCAAATTTGCATACCCCGTTTTGTGAATAGTGTAAGCAAACCGGTGCATCCTAAAAACAATTAAAAAAAGTCGAAAGCAAGTTTGCATCATTAATATATACAAAACACAGGTGAAAGTCAGCCCAATTACAATGAAAAGCTTCAATTTGACGAGTCATGATGCGAAGTGGTATAAATATTCAATCCAGGATTCCAGTATTCATGCATGGTTTGTGTTTCAACATTGGATCAATTAGCATCCTTTAAATTGAACAGACTGCATATTATGATGCCTTACCGGACGTAGAGGAAGACCAATGGGGCTTAGGACAAAATTTGCTTTTGATCCACTCCATTCTTGTGGATGATGGTATCTACATGAAGATCCATACTTACAATCCCCGGTCTTCATGTAATATTGGCATTCTGGTTCACCGGGCCTTTCGGGAAATGCATGTTCTCTCTGACTGACCCGTGAAGGACCAGTGGCAGAACCGGCATACATATAAACTCCTGAATAGGCAGGGGCCGAAGGAGATAATGGCGTTAGGCCGTAAAATTGTCCAGCTCCAGCAGCCGACTGAGTACTGGGGGAGGCCGCGGGATTAACAGGTGCCTGTAGTGCAGAATTTTAATGACAGCAGTAAATAAGTAAATAAGTAAATTCCAAGTCAAGAACAAAAAATAGTGACATTACAAAAATCTCTACCGGATAAGGAGTCCAACCCCCTGGAACTGGAACTACCCCCGGGGGAAACAACATAGGGCTATAAGCTCCGGGCATATACGAGCCATGAAGCAGTGCAGGCCTCGCAATTGACCAGTTGCCGGCCATTACTCCAAATTGTTGAGACGATTGAGCAGAGGGAGACTGCACTGCCGGATAAATGGACGGTGCAGCAGGCAACGGTCCAGGTGCAGCAGTTGGTGCTGGCATTTCTGCACCAGCGGGCTGCGGATGATGAAATTTACAGGTGACCCCAAATTTGCACTGCCCTGTTTTCATATAGTATGAACATTCCTTTTCACCCTGTTACAAGAATTTTATTAGCGAATTTAGTACATACTTCAGAATTAATATCAGAACAACCATAACATAATAATCCCCAAAAAAAAAAAAAAATGAAAACTGTGCAAGAGCAGACCGGTCGCAATGGGTATCCATATATATTCATCATCACTAGGCTTGATCCACCTCCCTGCCTTGGGTGGTGATACTTGCAAGAAACACCGAATTTACACATTCCCGTCTTCATATAGTACTACAAATTGAAAGTAGAAAAAATCCACAAATAAGTTTTTTTTAGTACTAATACCACTGTATACTTCTACAATCAGCCAGTAGAATAAGTTTCAGTTCGATAGACATAAACCAAGGCAATTGAAGGAACTATCAATGAAGATAAATAGTAACGTAGCACAATTTCAGATCCACAGAGACAAATAACATGATCAGATGGATGTAAAGCTCAAAAATGCTGTACTGCTGATTCTGAACAAAGAATGGCAAGCAACAAATAGTTGTACATCTTCTTAGATAGACAACTAAAAGATGGACTACAAACACAGCATAATAGCAAATGCAGTGATCTAGAGCAAAGTTTTCAAATTCTAAAAATGGAAATCATCTCCGTCTTTCAAGGAAAGAACATCAAAATCTGATCACGATCAATAGAAGAAGTTGTAACATACAGAACTAAAAGACCAATTATCAAGGAGTGTGCCAGAAATTACTTATAGTTTCCATCTAATTAATCAACCAAAATAAGGAAAAGGACAAAACCATCTTAACTCTAAAATAACTAATAGAAATAAAGTGGTTGTTTATCTTACTACAACCATGGCATTTCTATCAAGTGCAATTTCCATTGCTACAAAAAGCAGCATCATTCACATTGAACATTAAAGATAAACTCCATTAACCCCTAGACACTATATCAAGAATTTGAATGCAAATATTAAAAAACGGAACAAAACATAAATGCATATCTAACAGGAAAATGATCAGACAGTTTAAAGTTAGAAACTTTTGTGGACCCGCAAAAAGCATTCAAAAGTGATAGACAAACTTCCATTTGAACTGAACCATCAATAAAGGATCAGATAGTAAAGGAGAATGTCATATACAGATCATATCACATCCCCAAATAAAAAAAAAAAAAAAAAAAAAAAAAAAAGACAAGTAAAACAGAAGCTTAAGTCTTTTAAAACCAACATTGGGAAAGGTAACACAAAGTATAATTAGAAGAAAAAGCTTCCATAAGACAAATTCATTATAAGCAAAGTAGAACCTCCCTCTTAAATACACTAAAGAAGAACAAGCTGCCAATCCACAGACCATTTATCCAAAGAATGGAAAAAGGACAAATTCGCAAATAAGCAGAACAGAAGCTCAAGTATACTGTAAACAATAAGGAGCAGCTGGAAACATTATAACAAAAGAACAAATCTCCAGCAACTGAACATTCTCATTCTCATTCTCACCTATTTGATAATTCACTAAACAACCAAAACCAGAAAGCATGGAAATTTACCTGACAAAGCGGCTGACCCACTCTCTCTGGATACTCCCCTCCACTAGCCCTCATAGCTCGCACAGCCTAAACCGGTATGTATATCGATAAAATTTAGTCAATGCATGTCAAAATTTCCTAGTTTAATCCAACAATTCAAGATCAAAACTACAGTGATTATCAACAAATCTACACAAAACCCCAGTATAAACCCGAAGTGATCATTAAGATCAACCCAATTCGACCCTCCAAAAACATGATCGCTACAAAAAAAATCGAAAGTTTATGAGAATCCTAACCAAGCTACGGTCCCGGGGATGGTTGAACCGACAGCGAGCGCCATAGCCGCACAAGCCAGTCCGCAAGTAATAGATACAATCGGCGTCGTTAGGGCGCTCGGGGTAGGATTCGGGCCCACCACTGAGCGACAACTGCCACAAAGGCTCTGCATTTCATCACACTTAAAAACTTCAAACACCGGCCCGCATTACCGCAAATTCCGGGGAAATTCACATGAAATTCAAATGCAACTCACCTTCGAGCCCCGTCGTCGCCGCCGAAACCACGCCGGCTGCTCCTCCCTCCATTGCCTGGGTCCCACTATGCCTCTCCATTTTCCTCCTCCCCTCCCTCCTAAACACAACCACGCCTATATTACCTATACACACTATACACACTATTATGTATATGTATAATTAAACAAATATATACATATACATATATGTATGTACGGATGATTATGTATGTATAAAGAAAGTGCAGGAGAGAGAGAGAGTGGGAATGGGGTTTTTGATCAGTTTTAGAGAGAGAAAGCGAAAGGGAAGGGGTTTCGTGGTGGGTTGATTTTTGTGTATATACTTCACACTTCACAACCACTGTGTGAATTCTCTCTCTCTCTCTCTCTCTCTCTCTCTCTCTCAGCTTGTGTCAGTCTCCCTGTCGCTCCTCAATTTTGGGTTTTCTTTTTTCTTTTTTTCTTTTTTCAATATTTAAAGGTTAGGTAGTTTAAGGACGCGCCAAACAGAGAAGTACCTGTACCGCCTCATCTTCTTGCGCGGCATTTCATAACATTACCATATTTACATTAAAATCCAAACCTTTTAGTAGAGAGCTTTTAGATGAATTATTTAAAGCTAAGTTATGTTTCTCTATTAATTGTTTGAGAGAGAGAAATAATTGGTCATATCGTCCACGGTAATATGTTGTTTGTGAGATAATTTGAACATAACCGTTATCACAATCATCACATTACTAGATATTAGAAAAAGAAAACATAACCGATCGTATTAGATGTAGTAATACGATGTGTGTGAGAGAATTCAAGTATAGCAATTATCACCATCATCATATTACTAGGTACAATAAAAAGTAAAACAGTTGATCATAACGCTCACAATAATATATTATTTGTGAGAGAATTTGAGCATAGATCAGACAAATGGTCATAATGTCATATCGCCCACCGTAATTCACTGTTTGTGAGAGAATTTGAGCGTAATTGTTATCACCGTCATCATATTACTAGATATTGCAAAACAAAAACAAAAACAATTGGCCACATCGCCCACGGTAATCCGTTGTTTGTGAGAGAATTCAAGTATAGTCGTTATCACAATTATCACATTATTAGATACATCAAGAAGAAAAACAATTGGCCATATCACCCATGGTATATATATATATATATATATATATATATATATATATATATATATATATATATATATATATATATATATATATATATATATATATATATATATATAAGCGAGTTCAGGTGCGGCAGTGTCTTACGGTGCGGCGATTTCTTACGGTGCGGCAACACCAATAGTTCAACAAATATGCACCATCAACGTTAGGAAAATACACCACAAAAAACATAGTAAACAGAGCCCTGTATCACCAAACACACACCATTAGGTGTGAGTAAAAACACCATACACTGTTCAGAAATACACAATTGGGGGTGGTGAGTTATATTGTGTATTTTTTAAGTCTGTTGTGTATTCTGTGATGTTTTATTGTATTTCATTGTGGTGTGTTTTTCTAACACTGTTGGTGCATATTGTTAACACTGTTGGTGTATTCTGGAATTCCGCCGCACCGCCGCACGGGAAGACCCCGCCGCATTTGAACTTTATTATTATTATTATTATTATTATATATATATATATATATATATATATATATATATATATATATATATATATATATATATATATATATATTATGATTTAGTGTCTACTCATGTTGTTTCCTCTCATGAAAATCACGCCATCCATGCCGTTACTAAACATCACAATGATATTACCCGGTGGCTCATTCAACTTCCACCCAATCGCATTGTCTATCTCTAGCCATCTTTGTAATCACATCCGTTACTGTAAACATATTCAAGCATATTCGTTATTACCATTATCACGTTACTAGATATTGCAAGAAGGAAAAATAACTAAAACCACCCCAACAATCCTCTTGATTAGAAAGAAACACAATCTCTATGTAAGGTATAAGATTGTAGATCTTAAGATACCACAACTACTTGGTATCTCAACCAATCAGATTTTAAAATTTCACTATTTTAAGATAGAGCATTGGTTTCAGATACCAATCACATTTTAATATTTTACCATTTTAATTTAATTGATTGAGATACCAAGTTATCCTTTCAAGCATATTGTTAATTGCTCTCAATAAATAATCACACCATTAACAGTCAAAGACTCTACTTATAAATACCATTAAAGATCTTGAGCGAAATAAATCCAAAATATACACAAAATATTATACTCCGTATTAAATTCATAGAAAAAAAAAATAAATATTATATTTGAATGACATTATAAATTAGAAAATCTTAAATAATAAGAATGAAAAAGCGTCAAATAGGTTATCGAATTATAAGTGGATTTGTGCAATTGGACCATTGAACAAAAAAAAATGTACAATTAAATCATTTAGCTCTTTAAATTTGTGTATATAGCATTTTTAGCAGGTTGCTTTTAGGTTAAACATGTAAGATGAATGACATGGCATCTTATGTGACAATTTATAATATTTAAATCAATTTACTATGAACTTAATATTCAACTCTACCCAAATCTCAAATCTTCTTCATCATCAACCTCTGTACAGTATAGTCGAGCAAACTTGCAACTGTGTACTCACATGGATGGATGGCCCCACTCCACTCTCTCTCACTTCATTGCATTTGGTAAAATCAACAGAACTAAATTAAATCGAAGACATTAAATGAGACAGATGGAGTAATATTTAAAGAAAAATAATTTGTAAGTTATATTTTAAAACCATAAAATATAAAACCCAACATTTAAATATTGTTATTAAATTTATAAGTATTAATTAAATTAAAATTTATAAAGAACCATTCTATTTAAATTTAATTTATTAACATTCTTGTTTTTTTTAAAAAAATTAATTTTATTTAATTTTTTAATTTAATATTGTTATTAAATTTATAAGTATTAATTAAATTAAAATTTCTGAATTATTAAATTTATAATTAGCAATAATATTGTTATCAAATATATAATAATTACAATTATAATTTTTAGAATGATAATAGATAAAGAAATAATTAAAATATAGTGTGTAAAATGGTGGATCCAAAAAAAAAAAAAAAAAAACCTTAAAACTAATGGGGAGAAAGATTTTGTGATTAGGTGAGATAGTGAATGATGAAGTGGACGTTGGGCCCACAAAAAATCAGAAAAAACATAGGATGTCCTAAGAGTTTTTTGCACTTTTGGTCCCACGACTATAGTAACACTATCAGGATTGATCCACGACTTTCAAACCTTGCAATTTCAGTCCACGACTATTGTTTTTGTTGAAAAATAGTCATTCTAGCCAATTTTCCGTCAAAATCTCACTGGAGAAAAAATTTCTCATTTCAAGCATGATAAAATAGACATTTACATTGACCTTGCAATCTCGGACTGTTGTGGACATCTTATTATGACCAATGTGCGAAAAAAAAAAAAACACTTGCCATAGACGAACTCTAATCTGCTCTCATCTCATCAACGATGTAGCCATTATGATTCCCTTCAAAATAAAGAAGATGAAGATCGACAATGGATGACGTGTTGAAGATGGCAATTGATGTTTTCCTCTTGTTCGCAGATGGGTTAATGAGATGAGAGCATATTAGGGTTCGTCTCTAGCAATTGATTTTTTTTTTGTTTGTTTGATTTTTTCGCACTTTGATCAGAACAAGAGATTAATAGCGGTCCGAGATTGCAAGGTATATATAAATGTCTATTTTATCCTTGCTTGAAATGGTGAATTTTTTATCTGGCGAGATTTTGACGAAAAATTGGTCAAAATTAGGGTGGAAATGAATTGCAATTCGGTGGAAAAAGAATAAGGTGGGAATAAAGTAGGAATTCAAATTACATTGTTTCGTAGGGATGGATATAATTATTGGGTACTTGGGTAGGGAATGAAAGAAGTGATATAAAGACTAAAATGTCCTTGTGTAATAATAGTAGTAGTAATAATTAAGGGTACTTTTGTCATTTCATCATTTTTTCCTTTTCCCACAACCACCGAATTGCAATTCATAGGGAGGTGCCCATGAATTACAATTCAGCAAAAGGAGGGAATTGCAATTTTGTGGAATTGCAATTCCCTCCAATCAAACGGTGTAATTGTGACTTATACTGAATTGCAATTCAACTACAATTAAATTACGCCCAATCAAACAGGCCATTATAGTCGTAGGATAAGAAGTACAAAAAACTCGATATTAAGAAAAGAAAAACTTAAGAACGTGAATGACATGACAATATTAGAGCGCGTGTGGAACCAAAGCGCGGACAAATTAGTGATGTCATCCGAAAGAAATTAGTTTCGGGGGCTTGACGTCGCCTCAGTTGACGCGTGTAAACAACCGCCCAATCGCGAATGGGGAAGTAAATGCTAAGGTCATTTCAGGTGCACTCTGCTGTGAAACTTTGCGCCAGGAAAAGAAAAAAAATAAAAAAACAATGGCTGAGATTTATTTACGGAATGGACGAAGCAGATCCACTGCCGTCTGTCATCATAATACTCTGTACTATATTGGCAGACAAGTTGTACTATAAGCTCAAGTTTAATGTGCACCTTGGTTTTTCTTGTCCTGCTAATTTCTGATATTTTTATTTTAAAAGTTTAAATTAATCTCTAGTTCTCTACTATTCTTATATAAATAAAATAAAAATTAAACAAATGAAAGACTTTAAATAATTAATGATACTATTAACTTATTAAGCGCTCTAATTAAACAAATAAATAAATTCTTTAAACCGAAAAATATGTAATTGAGTTCAAATAATAAGTTATTAATATGTTACTATTTATATGACTTTTAATATTAATTTTTTGTGCCACCAATAAACCATATACAAGGTGCAATTTAAATCTTGACCCCATGAGATGAAGTGCCAACAACATTTAAAAGGATGAAATTTCTAAGTCGTCTAGTTATCCTCTAATCACCAGTTTAAACAAGTTAGTCTGACAATCAATTTATTTATTCCCTTCTTTTAATCCGATACTAATATTGATAGCTACTTATTATCTCAAACTAATGTATCCCTTAATGACGTTCTCAACCACTTCTGAATCAAGTTTCACGCCCATATCTGTAAAGTAGTGTCTTTGATCAACTTTAACCCTTCTCTAAACCCCTAAAGATCAGTCAAAAATATTGTGTGCACATATTTATTTATGTAAATCTTGAGTTTACATATTTTTATATTTTACAATATATTTAGAGAAAAACATGACTACCTATGAATTGAAGCATCAGTAACACTTGTGTGAGACCGTCTCACAGATCAAAATCCGCGAGACGGGTTGAAACTTTGATTAATGAGACAACTCTTTA